CGGCGATCAACGAAACCCTTACGTGACGCACCCAATGTTCATAATTCACCTCAGGTTCCCCAAGTACCCAGTTCAAGCCGAACACAACCGAAGGCTGTCTTTCATGTGGTGAATACCATTTTCGTTCGACTTGTCGATTCCCGAATGCCACTTGCCATGCATACGGTAAGATGGGCCGTATCCGTAACGTATGCCGAATGCCCGAGTGCAACCTGATCGACTCCCATATCGCAACGGCAGATGAGAACTCCAACCCAATCTACACGCTGCAGACCACTGAACCCAGCGGCCAGTTCGTGTTCGCCCCACTGAGGTTAGAGTCTGGTGTGGAGCATCGATTCATCATGGGCACAGGAAGCAGCGAATCAATCCTACCGAAATCAGCACTCAATGCGATTTGTTCTAATGCTGTTCTAGTCCCGACTTCTGTACGCATTCATGGGGTTACTGGCCATCAGTTGCAATTGCTTGGCGAAACGATGTTTTGCGTTCAATCTGAATCCAACGTATCAATCCCAATCCGATTCCTGATATCAGCCCACATTCCGTCTATTCTGGGCCTTCGAGCAATGCGGCTACTACAATCACCTCACATCTTCCAACATTTGATTGTACAGTGTTCCGGTAACGTTGGTGGCATGAAAGTACCGTCGGTGAAGTTGGAAGTGGACGGTGAACCTATTTTCTTAAAACGACGCGTCCTCCAATACGGTCAACGGGAAGGTGTCCTGAAAGCATTATAGAACATGGAGCAGGATGGTGTGATACGTAAAGTTGAACCCAGTGCCTGGGCTACCCCGATCGTCGTGGCGATGAAAAGTGATGGTAGGACACCACGGATCTGTGGGGACTATCGACTAACGTTGAATCCCGGGTTGCGGAGATGCGGAGCGACTACCATGGAACCAGAGGATTTCATGAAGTCACTGCATGGGTGCCAGTATTTTTCCAAGATCGATTTGGCGGACACATGCTTGTAGATTCCACTCGATGTCGAATCTCTCTACTTGACAACAATCAACACGCCGTGGGGAATGTATCAGCACAATTTTCTCCCATTCGGATTGCATGTGTCTTCTGGCCTCTTTCAGTCGGCAATAGACAGTGTAATCAAAGGATTCGACGGTGTGCTTGCAGATCAAGATGACGTCCTCATTTTCGGAGTTAATAAGCAAGAACACGATGCTCGTCTGACGCTGTCACTGGAACGATTTGCTGCCAGGAACGTGGCTATCAAGCCGTCCAAATGTGTGTTTGGAGTGAGTGAGTTGGAGTTTCTAGGATTCACAGTTGATTCCAGCAGATATCGTCCCGATCCGACACGTTTCAAATCATTGACTAACATCGAATCTCCAAAAGATCACACGCATTTGAGATCGATGATGGGATGCCTACAGTACTATTCCCGATTTATCCCGAACTTTGCTACAAGGGCGCAACCTCTTTTCCGCGTTCAGTATTCAGACGCTTGGGAATGGTCGGTGGAGTGTGAAGATATCTTACGTGGTGTAATTCGCTGCGTTACGGATCGTCCTGTTCTGGCCCCGTTCTCACCTTCAAAACCGACTACACTCATCACCGATGCTTCCCACGTCGGAATCGTTGCTGTATTAGAACAAGAAGGGTGCCCAGTGATCTGCATTTCACGTCTACTCAATGCGGCAGAAAACGGATACTCACAAACTCAAAAAGAAGCGTTTCTGTATTTTGGGCTGTTCGACGATTGCACAAGTCCCTTTTCGGATTGCGGTTTACCATCATCACTGATCACCAAGCGCTACAGTTCTCGTTCAACCCCCAACAAATCCATCGTGAAGTCCACTGCTGCTATGCTACAGAGGTGGAGTATCGCTCTAACTCCATATAACTATGACATCCAACATCGTCCAGGAAAGACAATCCCGCAAGCTGATTTCCTCTCTCGTTACTCACGATTTTCTGAGGCCGAACAGTGTCATTTCATCTCCCCAGCATCACCAGTGTCTTGGGAATCTTTACGCAAATCTACCAAACATCACTATTCGGTCATACTCTCATCGATAAAGAAAGGCTGGTCACCAGAGGTAAAGAGAAAGTATCCTGAGTTCTTTGCTCATCGAGGGGAGTTATCAGTACAATTGGATGGTGTATTGTGTCGCGACGATCGATTGGTAATCCCACAGCTACTACGGAAGACGGTACTAGAAGAATTGCATAAAGGACATATGCGGGTGGAGAAGATGAAATCATTGGCTCGACAGATGTGTTGGTGGCCGGAGTTGGACACAGACATTTACGCAACAGCCAAGAACTGTGAGTCATGTTTATATAAATTACGAACAAGACCGAAAAACTGGACACCATGACCGGAAAGTTATATACCATGGCAAAGGGTTCATTTGGATTTCTGTGGTCCGCTTCTGAACCGGTACTACGCCATTTTCCTGATCGATTCATACTCCAAATGGCCAGAGGTATTTTTTACNATACAAGTTCTACGGAAATGTTTTAGTCGCGAAGGGATTCCACAAGTGCTTGTGACGGACAATGGATCTCAGTTCTGTGTTACCGAAATAAAGCTTTGGATGGACAGCATCGGTTGCCGACATCTTCGAACTGCATCTCGTCACCTTTGTTCGAACGGAGCGGCAGAGAATCTAGCCAAAACTATCAAGAGTGCAATTGCGTCTGCCAATCCTTAAACGCTACATGAGTTGGAAACGTTGGTGGATGACTTCCTACTCCAATACCGAAACGCAACACATACAACCACCAAGGAGAGCCTGGCAATGCTTTTTAAATACAGACGCTTGCTATCCTCCCTACAATGCCTCGACTCCAGTGACGTCGTATACTTCCGCGGTAATGATTTGCTACCCGTGTCTGGTATAGTCACAAGACATCTGGCTCAGGCCATGGTGGAAGTTACCGACGTGAATGATGCTACTGTGCACAAGCGACACGTGGACCAAATCCCCTTCAAACTATCCACGGTCCAGCGGCATCAAGAGACAAGCGAGAGCGACAGTCAGTTGCATACCCCATCAGCACAACCGACGGAGCCGCATCAGTGAAATGTGCAGAAACAATCAATTGAAACACAAGGACACCGCCAGGAACAGGCTGAGCCAACGATTGCAGTCCGCGGGTCTAGCCGCCAGGCAAGCCAGATTGACGAGGCACTCTTGAGGGAAGAGAGTTGTGGTGATCCAGACTTCCGTGACCGCAATCCATGCACGACCAGGTACAGTTTCATGTTATCCAATCACCGTTCAGGAAGCTCGACCAATGGTACATCGGGCGAATATGATATCCGAGTTAGCATATATGATACGTCGGTGCAAACGGTTACGTGATTAGAAGATGCTCCTTCAACCACCGATATGGACTATTACATTCTGTAAAACATAATCTAATTCCATCAATAAACATAAGCATTTGCTGCTATCAATTCCTCGTGTATTTCATTGGTGTCCGCAGTTCGGGTTGGAGCCGATTCAGTTCTGAGCAGTACAGTACGGATTCTCGTATTCCTAAATTCAATACCATTCCGAATACCACAGAAACTCATGAAGAATGAAGACGTTGAAAAATTTTATGCTTTTTCTTTTTTATTTTTCGATCGATGGCGCCATAATGTGGTACTTTTCAGTCGGCAATTAGTTGTTAAAAATACATCAGCCAAAGGTTGATGCCATTTTATAGGCATATGATAAATGCACACGCATTAGTGTCTGGTGGAACGGCCTCGAAACCACAAAAAAGAAAGCGTTTAATTTCTGTCACAGGTTTAGCACAATATTTTAAATCCACACACGAGTATAACTTGACAAGTGTAATTCAGCGTATGTTCATGTCAATTACTGCTCTCTCGTACTTTCGGTCGAAGCTATTTTAAAGTCTAAATCTGCCAGAGACGATCTGAACCATACACTTCAGTGTCATTTCTGAGCGCTACCTGCCGGAACCCAAACCTATAGCATCCTAATAAACTGGATTCGAGCCGGGCAGAATGACGAAACATTTTAAGAATGACTGATTTGTATTATTGTTGTACTTCAGTATTCTATCTGAGAGTACACCCCGCAATCTAAAAGTCACTTGATCTGTCTGTGATTCAGGTTTCCTAAGTTCAGCGATTTTAACTGACTGCAGAATGGGCTGACCACTGAACATAATACTACTATTGCTGTGCCGTCTTAAGGCTAAGTAGGAAACATAATCAGAACAATTGGAAATTGACTGATGGTTTTGTCAGTAATGCTTGGTTGGTTCTAATGTGGCTCCACTCCAAGTGTGATTTGTTCATTTGCTAAAGCTTTCTGTCGTTCGACGCGTTTTAAAACTCAGTTCAATAAGCCGATGGTGAATTACCGCGAGTAGATTTTTCCCCCTAGACCGCTAGCGAACATACTTCTGACTGTGCCTGGTTATCTAAAAGTAGTACTCCTTAGAATTCAGTCCTCTTCTGATTGCCCGAAAGGTGTGTCATTTCGGGGACTTTGGTGCATTGCGTAGACGAATACAATAGCCTATCATATGACATACTTGTGGTTGAAATCTGCAGGCTATTCACATCCAAATCATTCCATGTGATGGTTGAGACAGTGTACCGGGAAATTGTTTCGACTTTGTTGGGGCTGATCAGTAATGTTTATTATTCTTACTTCCCCGGAGGTAGTTTAAGTGAGAGCCTCCAGGAAGTGAGGCAAAAATTTTACCCTAGAACAGAGACAAATACCTTGAGCGATGCGCATAATTGCTACAGAATGCTTTGTTTAACTGAGCCCATTCAACTATCACATGACACGATGCGTTACAAGCGTTTTGCCTAAGAGTTTTATTCTTTAGGAACTCACCTGCTCTGCGTATGCTGAATGCACTATAGTATAGTGCAATATGGGAATTGTCTGTGAATTGCAATGAGCACCATCAGACACAGCAATATAAAGTATTAATGGAGCTGTAAACCCTGAACGACCGTGGCTTGGGTTTTCAAATATGTGGTAACCGATCCCCCAATAATTATTTTCACATATAATTATAATATTCTGCAGTATGTAGCAGAACAACTGTCTTGATTATAAACCATTTAGTTTTGTCTATCGGAAACACTGGGACATGGAACGTTCAATGCAGTCATGAGATCTCAGCAAGAGATGATAAGTTTGAGCAAGGTCGGTAACGGAGTTCATTGGCTTTACAATGGGTAAATTATTTTAAAGTATACAGCGGAATGGTGCATAATTTGTCCAACGAGATACTACTGGGTTGATACCCAGTCGACAAGCAGGTTTCGGAATCGACTGAGATATATAAAAAATGAGCCCCGTCTACCGAAAACGATCTGGATTTCTTTCGGATAATGGTTTTTCCCCCATAATCGTTGATTGGCATTTGAAGTAAACACAGCAGAAAATATCCTCTGAAGTGGGCTGATCCTACCCGCGCACTTGACTATGGACCAACTAGCAAACAAATTCATGCAATTTAGCTTATTTACTGCGATAAACACACGCACAGAGCAACCCCAGAAAGGAAGTAAACAAGTCGCAAATAACCTTTAATAGGATGATGTTCTACTTTTGATGCTGTTTATCGATTGGGGTTAAGTTATAAACTTCCATACGGCTAACCATAACCACATCTTTGTCAATCAATCGACGGTCTTATAGTTCAAAGCATGTTTGTGATTCCCAGGGATTCGAACTGAGGCACTGCTGCTATCTCCTTCTTGAATTATTCGATTTGGGTCTAACCAGTA